CCCTCCTCCTGGGACTCCTTTTCCCCCTCAGCGTGACCAGCGTGGCCGGGCTGGCCCGGGCAGGGTAAGCTCCATCCTGTCTGCACCTCCCGTGTGTGCCCATCTGCGTGTCCCGGCCAGGCGCATCCTCTCCGGGTGACATGAGCCCTGTTGAGCCCATGGCAGCTCCGGGCTGGTGTGGAGGTGGGAAAGGGCTCTGTGATTCCTCCCGGGGCAGCTGGGGCTCCGCAGCCCTTCGCTCCTTGTTTGCTTTGTCACTGGAGCGAATAAACCTCTCAGAGGAGATGTCCTGGCTCCGCTTAGATCCACGCAGGGGACACAAAGATACTCTGGAGAGTCAAAAGCTCATCAGGCCCTGAGCTGTCCAGGAGTCGTTATTGTCTCTTTCGAGCACATCCTTGCACAGAAATACACGTGCAGTCTCGCTGTCACACCAGCTGCTTTGCAAACAAGCCATCAGAGGAGGATGCAGTGTCCCAGCTCTATGGGGATGCCCTGTCCAGGCACAAAAAGCCCTGGTGGGTTGTTGCTCACTGGGGTCCATGGTCCTGTGAGCCTGGTGCTGGCAGCTCCAATGATTCCACTTCCCTTCTCAGGAAATGGGTCCAGTTCAGCACCCTGGATCCCAGCACAGCCCAGGCAGGCCCAGCTCCATTCCCACCAGGTCAGAGGGACCTCAGTGCTTTGTTTCTTTCCTGGTCAAAAGGAGCTTGAGCTCAACACCCACCCCAGATACAGCTCATTGTCTACAGTTTGTTTTTACACTGAAACACTCTCCTCTGGCATTAAACCTTTTCCATTCTGGTGGTGACTGAAGCACAGGCTGAGCTGGAGCTTTATTCTACATTTGCAAACAAACAGCTGCCGTTTAAAACCTGCATTTTCTATAGCACCAACCAGAGAGGCTGAGGGGAGCTTCTGAAGTTAACGGAAGCCATCTGATGGCCATGCTAATTCCCAGGCTTTTATTTCAGTCTCTAATTGTGCTGGGAGGCTGAGGCAAGTAGGGAAGTTCCTCAGCAGGACTGACCTGCTGGGGCTGGAGAATGTTGGAAAAGGGGAATTTTTAACCAAGACCCCTTTGGCTGTGAACCTGGGGAGAGTTCTGAGCGGGTCACAGTTACCTCGGGGAGGCTGGAGGGCAGCTTCCCTCTGGCCTCTACTTTCCCTCGGTGAGCCTGACCCTTCCTCTGAAATCATTAATCTCTTGGTGAGCACATTTATGGAATGCAAAAATCTCAGAAAGGAAAAATCCCCCAGAAAGTGAGTGATTGCAGGGGGAGGGAGGGGACGAATGGAAGAATTGCTCCGGGTAAATCCCCCCAAACTCCTGGCTCCAGCGGCTCCCCCGGGATGGAGCCAGGGTTGAGTGCCCGAGGGGACGAAGAGCCCGAGCAGCCCCCAGCGCTCCAGCCCTGTGCCACTGCCCTGACACAGCCTGAGGTCCCCTCCCGGTCACTGGGGCACTCAGGCACTGCCGTGTCCGTGGCGCTCAGAGGGCAGGGGCTGGTGTAGGTGCAGGAGGGGGAAGTGGTGCGTTGGGCTCAGCCGGTGTCTGACCTGCCCCCTCTGCTCAGCCGCAGGGTCTGTGCCGCGGTGCCGCGGAGCCGGGCGGTTGCCTACACCGAGTCCCACGTGCAGCCCGTGTACCAGCCCTACCTCACTACCTGCCAGGGCCACCTCTGCAGCACATACAGGTGAGGATGCTGCCTGCACAACGCACCCTACCCTGGCTGTGGAGAGGGGGGATCCTGCCTCAATCCGTGGGGAAGGGGCTCCCGGCCCCTGGGAATGGGACGGGTGTTTGGGGGAGATGCTCAGCCCCATCCTTGCCTTGCAGGACCATCTATAGGGTTGCCTACCGGCAGGGGGGAAACTGGGCCTCGTCCTGCCCCGGGTGGAGCAGGGCTGATGGACACGCCCTCGGCTGCAACAGAGGTAAGATGCTGCTGTGCCACCAGTGCCAGCGCTCATCCCTCCAACAGACCCCATGGGCCGGGCAGCTCATGTCCCTGGATGCAGCCCTCGCTCAGTTACCAGCGCTGCCCCTCATGCAGAGCCTCCCTGTAGGGAAGCATTTACATTTCTGGTGTCACAACCAAATGCAGTTCAATTTCTGATTAATTCTCAGCCTTCCCCTGCTGCCTCACAGGTATTTTTCCTTTGGGATCACTTATTACCTTTATAGTTACCAGAGGATAAATAAAATGAGTAAGTTCTTTCCATATAAATCAGCAGTAATGGAAGAGAAATGCTTTCAGGAGGCACAAAACAAATGTAGAATGCATCAGCAGATAATGCATCCCCAGTCCGTGCCCATCAGCCCTTCTCACTCCTGCTGTGCTGCCTGCAGGTGCCTTGGCCCTTCTCCAGGCTACATCCCAAGGTTCTGTTCATCCTATTCTGTTTATCCTGCTCTGCTCTGGAGCCAGGCTGAGAGAGATGGGCTGGTTCAGCCTGGACAAGAGAAGGCTCCTGAAGAGGACACCTTAGAGCAGCTCCAGTGCCTAAAGGGGCTCCAGGAAACCTGGAGAGGGGCTTTGGACAAGGGCCTGTAGGGACAGGACAAGCGGAATGGCTTTAACCTGCCAGAGGGGAGATTGAGATGAGCTCTTGGGCAGAAGCTCTTCCCTGTGAGGGTGCTGAGGCGCTGGCACAAGGTGCCCAGAGAAGCTGTGGCTGCCCCATCCCTGGCAGTGTTCAAGGCCAGG